TAATAGTAATGCAATTGCGAAAGGAAGCAGAGAAACACTACATCTTTGGTTTCTAAACTGGGTCTGTGTTGGTTACATTGTCAAGTCAACTTTAATGCTAATACTAACATAGCCTGCAAGACCACCCAATTGAGATGAATTTATTTTTACAGAAATTCAAAGGTAGCCAGGGTCAGGTTTTGTAGCAACCTATAACTTCATTTTTATTTTAATTATTTATCTAGAAACATAGTTCTCAGATGTTATCATATATTTCTATTTACTAACTACAGAAAGGACAGCAGCACATCTTTGAAAAAGCTTTCCTGATACACACAACAGCAAATAAAATTAATAGTTTATATTCACATTTGGAAATTCTAACTGCTTCAGAACCTACATCTTCCTTGTACAGTAACATTAAAATTGCTGTGACTTCAGATCAGGCAAGTTAATGTCACAGAAGATAAGTAGCATGGTTTTAAAGTTACACTGCAAACTGGGTCACATTCTGACTGCTTTACAAGATCATAAAATACATGTACTTAGGTACCTATACCATGTAATAGAAACTATCATTGTAAGGATATTTTTTTCATGTCAGCAGCAGGTTAAAACTGTCTTCTGCATATGAAGATACATTGTTACAAGTTTATAAAAGGCATGATTCCACAGCAATACAAGCCAATAAAAGCTAGCACTGGCCCAGTCCCTCCTTTACCTCATCGACATTCCTGACTTGTCTCTGATGCCAGTACTTGGGCTCACAAGTCCCTGTATAAACTAACTTGGCCCTACATCACTTGTTAGGTGGATTTTTTCCTGGGCCAATGACCTGAATCACTTAATTCTCCTAAACATAAAGAGCAGGGGCTGGATACTTTCATTGACTTAAGCCATTGCAAAAATAACACATAAATAAAAACCATGAGTATCCTTCTATTCCCTACTGTTTTAGATTGTGTGTGGGGAAAATACAGAGGAAATAGTCAGATACTGTTATCAATTTCTGAGTATATATAACTCAATTTTTCAGTAAACAATTTATCAGAAATCTACTAGCCTCAACCTCCATGCAAGGCTGCATTTAAGGGGTGAAAAAGTAATTATGTCCTTCTTAAAATTCATTTCAGGATAACATAAAAATTCCAGAAGAGCAGCACCCTCAAAACCATGCACTTAAATTACTGATTCATGACTACAGCCTTAGTTTCAAAGCAATACATTGGCCAAACTTATGACTACTTTATCACTGAATAAGCAACAATAACATGCAACAACTGTATCAACTTTGACAGTTTTAGAGGCAGACCTCCAAACTGTCCAAACCTAACAGGAGGAGTAAGGAATATGCCAATTGCTATGCTGTACAGTAAGCTCACATCTAATATATGCAGAAAGGTCTTAACAGTTAAGTGTAATTATTTGTGAATATGCTCAATCTCTGTTCTAGAAAGGATTTATTCCTCAAGAAAAGAATCAGGTGTTTTCCTAAGAAGGCCACAAAGCCGTTACCCATTACAGAACACAGAACTATGCAATACTTCCTTCCCGTCACATCTTCCTTCACAGTATTGCAACACTGTAACATCAGCTGTAATTGCGATCTGTTAAAATGCTGGCAAAGAAAGGACGCTTTATCGCCAAAGTGCTGCCTTTGGAGATTTGCTACGGAAATTCTTTTAATGTTTTCATCCTATGGCAATTCAAGCTTCCCAAACATTTTACTACAATTCCAAAGGCAGGGAAACATAATTAAACCCATTTGTACAAACAGACTAAGGGAATTACTGAAAATCCCATGTGGCTTTAATAGCAGGACTGCAAGATGCCATTTCCTCTAATTTTCCCTCCCAAGATCACAGCAAGCAGAGATTCCCAGTGATGATCACAACCAGCATGAGTTACTCCTGACAGAGCTACTACCTGTGGAGAGCCACAGCAGTTTATGCTAACTACCACCTGCACTGAAAACTAATTTCTCACAAATGTGTATTTTAACAAATACAAAAAAAAAAAGGGTTATGTAGCTGAGAACAACTTACCGTTCCTCTCTTCCTGCACACATCATGTTCATCACTTTTCAAAGATTCACGTCATTTCTGGAGCCAGTTTCTTTCAAAGGCAGCATGCCCAACAGCACTGCACTTCTCCAAACTGAAGGGTAGGAAGTGCAACCCACACAGGTTATATATACAGAAATTACAAGAGCCACAATAGCCTCTACATGGGTAAATTTTATTGTCAGATTTGCAAAGTCTTTAAACTCTAAGCAAAGCTTCTTGCTAAGCTGTCTCTCAAAAGACAGCAGGGCCATTACTTCTCAGATTTCTTACCTTAAAAAGGATGTGGCTCCTGCCCCACCACATGCCATCCCAGCTGGGCATACTCTGCAGCCACAGGGTTGGCTGCAGTGGAGAATGGACTAATGAGCTGCTCGGTGCCATGCACAGCTAGTTCCAGCCAGCCCAGCAGCCCCACCACAAGCACAGCTGAGCCCCACAGCAGAGCTGGTGGGCCTCAGGGGAAATGTGTGTAAGAGGGCAAAAATGCCAGACAGGCAGAAGAAGGAACAAAAAGGAGCAAGAAGCAGCACAGGGAACTCCAAGAAGAGGAAGAGCTTCATGACAGAGCAGGGATTTCCTGCAGCCCACAGAGGACCCTCACCAGAGCAGAAAGTCTCTGCTGCCTGTGGAGAATCTGGGAAGCTCTAAGGTCCAGCATAGAAAAGCCAGGAGAAAGAAGGCACAGTGGGAAACCCCTACATACTGACAGCACCACTCTCCTCCCAAATGCCTCATTGCCTCTCTAAAGGGAGTGAGCGTAACCAGCAGCAAGATATGTTTTCCCTCTGTTTCAATGTTTGTCTTTTCCCGGTATCTAATAAAAGATACATATATTAATTGGCTATAATTTTCCCCACATCAAGTCCATTTTGCCTGCAATGGTAATTAGTAAGCAATCTGTATTTTGATGAGACTTTTTGTTCCTGTTTCTCCTTATTCTCACCTGCTGAGGTTGAGCAGCAGGGAGTAAATGAGCAGCTGGATAAGAGTTTGGCTCTTAGCCTGGGCCAACACACCACATTAATATATATATATTTTCTACTTTTTGCTGCCTGTCAAATCAACTGGATGATGCAGGCTAAGTGAGGGCACTTCAGACATGAGGCTTTGCTACCAATTCCTGGAACCACCTTGTCCGTACAGAAAAACTCATGGGAGGTTCAGCTATGATCCACTTGTAGTGGAGGACAAGCTCCCAGGAAGCAAGCTAAATTACACCAAGAACTTCAGACAGAACAGCAACAAGGTACTGTCATTTTGCTTGTCAGCCCCAGACACAGGCTGTATTTAGCACCTGTTAGCACTCACAGTCAAGCTGTTAATGACATGAACACCATCTGCTGGTCGGTCATGACATTTTAGTTCTGAGGGTTCTGTCAGTCTCCTGCTGGTCAGCTTGGGACCAGCCACTGTAGCAGCTATGAACAGGTTTTCTTTAGAAGTATTCTGACATTGTTACGAAGTGCTTAGTGAACTTCATGTTTAGTTTTTCATGCAGTGCTTCTGAAAGGTGTTCAGTAGCACAAGCACTTAACCATTCACAGCAGCAACATGCGATATAGCACTACAGTAAGAGTAGCACCATTTTTTTTCTATTCTAGCTTTCAGTGCAAGTGATTAATAACAGCTTTAGGTACAGAACTTCTCTGCTACACCCCCCAACTCAAAAGACTGTTAGGTTTGTGTGTTATATGAGAGCTTCTCTAAGCTTCCCCAGCTCCAAGTCAGATGTGCCTCTGGCCAAGGCTGAGCGAATTAGTGATTGTGGCTGCACCTCTGCAATAACATATTTAAGCAGGTAACAGCAGGAGGAGGGGTGGGAACCCAGGTCAAGGGGAGAAACTAGTATGAGGTATGGGGAGATTTGCCAGAGCAGACACTCCCCTGCAGCCCGTGCTGAGAGGCAGGCTAGGCAGGCTGTGCCCCTGCACCCCGAAGAGGTCAGTGGTGGAACAGATGCCCACTTGCAGCCTGTGGAGGACCCCACACCAGGGCAGGGGGACGCATGCAAAGAAGGCTGGGACTCTGAGGGAAACTGCACTAGGACAATTCATCTCTGGGAGGTATGAAACATGCAGGAGGGACCCATGCTGGAGCAGTTTTGGAAGAGCTGCAGGCCATGGGAAGGACTCATGTAGGACAAGCTACATGGAGGACTGTTTCCTATAAGAAGTACCCCACCCTGGAGCAGGGGAAGAGTGTGAGGAGTCCTCCCTCTAAGGAGGGAGGAGCAGCAGAAACAGGTGATGAACTGACTACAACCCCCATCCTCTGGTGGGGAGGAAGCAGAAAAATTGGGAGCAAAGGTGAGCCTGGGAAGAAGGGAGGAGCAGGGGGAAGATGTTTTTGAGATGTGGTTATACTTCTCACTGTCCTATTCTGATTGTTGAATTGTTTGTGGTAGTGATGTTTATAAATTAAACTGATGTTCCTTTTCCTTCCCCTAACAAGCCTGTCTTTTACCAGTAACCATAATGGTTGAGTCATACTTCCCTGTCCTTATCAATTCCATACCCTTTTATTTTCTCCTTCTCATCCCTGCAGGTGAAGGAGTGCTTGTCAAAATAATAGAAGTTCATGAAACCCCATGACATACACAAAAAAAGCATCTGACACAGAAGCCATCATCCATATAAACTGAAGCTTTAATTAGCTGCTTATAAGATTTAACAGATGCTTAAATCCTATAATCTGCAGATTCAAATTTTGTAACTGACCCATTACAACACAGAATGAACATTAAATCTAGATGAGCCCTTTACATAAAGCTCCTTCCCAAACTAAGTCTGCATAAGACTATCTTCCCATGCAAAATTTTGTAAAGCAGTAAGTTCAAGGGATCTACTAGTTTCCACCTGCAAACCCTCCATCTTTCTACAGCTGCATACTAGCTACCAGGCATCAAACGCTTACTGAAAGTTTTAACACTTAATACACGAAGTATCTTCTGAAAGATTGCTTTTGACTTTCTACATTAAGTTGCAATCATCAGGGTTCATCGTAAGAGTACACACAAGTTGCTGATAACTTGTGGCAAACAATATGATCTATTCTTTTAAACATTAAACATTTTATGAACTCAACAGCAAGGAACATTAAGTGCAACAGTTCACTTAAGACCCAGCAGAATACAAACTAGTTTGGTACTAAAGCAGTTTTAATTCCATGACTCCGGTGCACTTGCAGCATACAGCATCTTCATTCCTCCTGTGTTCGTGCTGCCTCTGCCTTTGTAATTCTAGGAAAAAGAAGTACTACTTTAGAATCATTAACATTTTCCATCATTCAACAGTAAGTCACTACAGTTAATCTTCTGTAACGTGGACAACATTTTTTAAATAAATACAGAAGCTCTTTCATCATTACACTTACATGCATAAGGTTTTTAGGCTCTGTGTAAAAATTAATGCACTTTAATCCACCTCAGATTTTATCAGGTGTAGCAATAGTTCTTGCCAAAGTTCAAATCCCCAACTTCTCCTACTCAACACAATCAGTTCACACAACTTTGGGGAAAGTCTTAAACAAGAGATAGCGAAGGAAGTTTGACTGTTTGCATTAGTTTCCCAGCAAAACCCTTTTCCTTTGGAAAAAGAATGAAGCCCAGTCATCTATAAGATTGTCCCAAAATAATCAAAGAGCAGCCTCCAACAGGTTCCTGTTTCAAATTCATCATTTGATTATCAAATAACCCTTTCATGCATTTGTTTCGAAAGAGAGTGAATATTGGAAAAACACAAATAAGATGTTGCCATTTCTCCTGGGGAAGTTAAGACAATCTTTACTGAACACTAGATGATATAGCCTCTCCTTCAATAGTAGTAAAACAGCAAAAGCCAGCTTTAATAGTTAATTTTGAAATGATATAGTAAAATATAGTCCAATATAAAATATAATAGAAGAGGGCTGACTACAAATGCAGAGTTTGTCAAAATTGCTGATCTCAGATCTCATAAGAAAGTAATTAGAACCTGATGATCTCCAACTCAAAGAGTCAGCGCACTGCATTTACATGGTTGAGAAGGCAGCACTCCCAAGGTAAAGAGATTTCCCCTGAAACTATCCTATTCACAAGGATGTGGATGAAAAGTCAATGAGATTTGGTAACTCAGAGGTCATAAAGGACATGAAGGAGAGACTTGGACCTAGAAATGGCAGATTTCATGAAATACTGGGAGACACTCCACAAAGAGTCATGTTTGGAAGCAATCTAGACTCAATGGTTGATGAGATCCACCTTTGAAAGCAATCTATACAAAGTCCAAAAGTGTCCTTGGACAGAAATACAGATGAAAGATCCACCAAGGCTGCAAGCACAGGAAGGCAGCAGAAGTTTAAGGGTGTAACTGAAGTCCCGTGAAGATGAAAATTAAAAAAACATTCAGATCTGATCAGGGAACTAGCTAGGCAGGTAAATACACCCAAAACACCCAATACTTCCCATAGTTATGGTATGGAAAAAGATAAATCATGAAAGGTGTGAGCTTGAACTCAAGGTTCAGACATTGGGTAAGCAGTGACAGTAATTACTCCTCCTGTGGTCTGTAGGAGTATTATCATGTGGAATGCAACTGAGATGTGATAAAATTCTTACAGAAGTAAAAGATCAAGGAAAAGCTTTTCACAGAATCATCTAGGTTGGAAGAGACCTTGTCAACCATTAACCTAACCCTGATAGTTCCCTACTACACCAGATCCCTCAGCACTATGTCAAACCAACACCTCCAGGGATGGGGACTCCACCACTGCCCTGGGCAGCCCATCCTAATCCCCAACAACCCCTTCTGTATAGAAATGCTTCCTAATATCCAGCCTAAACCTTCCCTGGCACAACTTGAAGCCATTCCCTTTTGTCCTATCACTTGTTCCTTATTAAAGAGACTCATCCCCAGCTCTCTGCAGCCTCCTTTCAGGGAGTTATAAAGGATGATGACGTCTTCCCTCAGCCTCCCCTTCTCCAGAATAAACAACCCCAGTTCGGTCTTTTGATGAAGGCATTAAAATCCAAGTAGATAAAAGCAAGAAATAGCAAACATTGAAAAAATAAATATAATTCAAATGAGTAGTTTAATATAATTTAAATCCTGAACTAGTGACTGGAGTTGAGAGCTATGCCACCTAGACTGTCTCATTTACTCAAGCTCTATTTTAACATTTGGTCTCAGCAAAACAAAGAGACCAGAAGGCACCTCCTTATCACAGACATTAAGAACAATTTCGACATGGATCAGATTGGTGCATTTAACTTGAATTAGCTTAAGTTTTCAGTCAAATTAGTTACTGGAACCATTCATAATGAGCAGTGATTGTGTAACTAGCATCTATTTGCTCCTACCCTACATGAGCAGTAGAGAATCTTCTGGAGCTACAGCCTTTGCGTATGTTTACACAAACTTTTTTTCCACAGAGTAATTCTTGACACTACAGATCAAGACAAATGCAATTATTAAGGCCACACTGTAATATTCCAAGTCAAGCAAGTTGTCCAAGATTAGTTCCAGAAATACTGAACACTTTGAAGACGCACAAGAAAGATAAGGGATACAGTTAAAAGTCAAAACAGATTCAGTGACATTACTCTCAATATATACTGCTAAATACACTTTTATACTGAGACAAAGTTCTAAAAGCCAAGACTTACAGTTTATATCCAGACTTACCCTTCGGGTATTAAATGGTGTAAAGTCTCTTTCTTCTTTAAAACCAAAAGCAATTTCTTCCAACCAAACAGGAACTTCCTGCTGGGCCTACATAATTAGAAAAGTGAATTTAGACACTTTGACCCCTTTACCAATTGGTATTAGGAGTTCCATAACTGTACCAAAGAAAAAGAGATGCTCAGTACATTAAAGTGAAATCCTAAAGACCATAAAAAGCTAAGCACCAAGATTTGAAACTTACATCTGAAAGCACTTTAACAAGAGATTGTGCAAGATGGCCATCTGAATTGTTATCAAAGAAGCAAACTGCTCTGCCTGTATTTCCACAACGGCCAGTTCGTCCAATTCGGTGAATATACTCCTCAATGTTGGAAGGAAGATCAAAATTAATAACATGTTGAACATTCTCAATATCCAGACCCCTTGCTGCCACTGAAGTTGCCACAAGAACTGGACATTTTCCATAACGAAAATCGTGAAGAACGAGTTCTCTTTCTCTCTGTTCTCTATCTCTACAAAAAAAAAGAGAGCAATGGTTACAATGGATGTTTCAAAAACTCTATAGTATTATTTAAGATACAAGTTAAAAAGGTCATGATTCATGGACAGTAGTTGTTCAGGGGCAGGGAGGGAAATCAGGCAAAAAAAAAAATCAACCCACACTACTAGTTTGGATTTCTGAATTTAACTCATTAGCAGTAAGACACAGTAACTATTTTAACCTATGTCTCTAGAGAAATATTTCTTTAAAAGAACCAGAGATAATAATGTACCAAACTCAGTGACTCACTAAAAAGATCCACTTGCTTAACTAATTGTTTCTTCATGCCATAATCTGAAGTGCTTTTCCTACTGCTTTATAGCAGGGAGCCAGAATAGCAAAGATAAAGTCTACCTAGACTTGTGCATACACCATTTTTTCAGATATATTATAAAGTGTGGCCAACCAACAGCACAGAACTTCTTTTGTTTATCATCATTGTAAGAAAACTGGATTTGCTCTAGGGTTTGTATTTTTAAATAATATTTACAGATTATGCAGTACTTAAATATAGTAGATCAGAGTTTAACTCATTTTTTGTTGTTCAAATGAAAGAACTAACTAGAAAGCTAAAGAAACAGTGCTTTTTTGAATTTAATATGGGAATTTAGTAAAGCCTGGTATGACCACTATTACAGGTAAGAGCAACTATCCTAACTTCAACTCAAAACACTTAAGTGGATCAGAAATTGATAACATTCATGACAGTTTAGCTGCTTCCATGGAACCAGTTATTCTCTTTAAGTATACAGTAACTCATTGTTACAATTCTACAGAATTTCCTCCCACACAAGACAAGTTGTGGGATAGCAATTCAGGTTAGCCACGAACAGAAGGCCAGACCTTCTCAAAATGACCCTCCACAGGTATGTAAGACTGACAGGTCATGGAATATATACAAACATCTTCTGTCTTTGTACTAAGATCATTTTGACCCATCTACAACTTTAATATTCTGATGCCAGAACACTTGCCCAAAACATCATTTTATCAGCAAGCATTCAAGTCTCTTCCTCCTATTACAAGACAAAAATTGTAAATCACATTTTTGATGTGCTACAGTTCACTGGGAATCTTAAGACTGTTGTCCTACAATTTGACATAAACAAACATCACAGAATACTGAACTACATTCCAGCTCTTTAAGTGGGAGACAGATCCTATTTTTAGATTAGTTTAGACCTGGAATTAGCAACTATTTCACTCTGTTTCTTAGCATTTGTTCAGGTATACAGCATTAATGAGAAGACTACAAACGCAAGTTAGAAGCATCTTCTCTTTAGATCAATCTCCATACAAATGCTATATCCATGAATATGACAAGGAGGCGGAAGTGACAGTATCAGAAATCCATACGCTGTGTGACTTAATTTACCTCATCACTTGGAGGAAGCCTAAGATAGAGTGAAAGGTCCACAATTGCCACATGAATTTAAAAATATTGTCTCATCAATAACACCAGACTGCCTGGTTTTGGTCACAAAATTGATGACAAAAAACTACTTATAAACAACAGCTCATTTTACTGAATTATATACTTTTTTTTTAGCAGTAGGCATAAGATTCTCCAGTTCATATACAGCATTTGAAGTGTGGTCAACCAGAAAGAGGTAAACTCAGCTCATGCTTTGAGAACTGGCCTTCAGAAACACTACATTCTCAATTGGGCAGTGCTGCTGAGGATTACAGGGCTATCTGAAACAAGACAAGTTAAGTCACACAGATATGGCCAAACATGAAATCTCAGTAAAAGTTTCTGGGGAGATACAGTATTAAGTGACTTGCAATTAATACTATTACCACCTGACTTTCACTGTCAAAACACTTACCCATGGATGCTAGTGGCTGGTATGTTTTCTTGACAAAGAAAGGCTGCAATGTAGTCTGCTTTTTTCTTTTTGTCCACAAACACCAAGGTTCGTTCATAACCTATGTTAAACAAGGGTTCAGATCCACTGCAGTTTTAAACTGATGCATTTTCACTATTCACAGTTACAGTTACTTACATAAACACCTGATATCAGAATGTTTTTGATAAAGTCTTTAAGGTGTGACTATAATCTCTTACCTGTGTTGAACTTATTAAATTCAATCCATCACTTTTTAGATCAATACAGAAAGCTATGTGAAGACAGGTGCATTGTATTTTGCTCCTCAACAGAAGGAGGAAACAAACCTTCTCTGTGATAAGTATGCACTCCCTTTCTACAGCATGTGGCTAAAGTGTCACACCATTCTGAGCACCAAACAGCAAGGTACACAGATTGTTTTTTAATTCCAAACTCATTTGAGTTTTCAGCATTAGAATTTAAGATACATTCAAGAGCAAAAAACTCCCAGTCATTAAAATACAGGCCCAAACACTCACATGGGTTTAATATACCTATAATCTGGAGATAATACCCCCAAACACTGAAGTATTGTAATTGACCATATAAAGAAACTAATCATCAGGGAAGCTTGTCTGCTAGTACTCAATACAGATGACACTTCAACAAATACCTGTAACACACAGGCTTCAAAACCTAGAAATTCTCAAGGTTTGCTTCAAGCTTCAATCGACAGTCTTGTAAAGTATGTAACATATGTAATAAAATGCAATCATGACTGGTCAATAGCAAGCACACAAGTTTAAAACCAATTTTGTCTTTCTTTAAAAAGAATTAGCAATAATGAAAGTTACCTATGCTTTGTAGAATTTCTATCAGTTTATCCCTCTTGGCATAAGAAGGAACTTGAAGAATGTTTTGCTGAACATCACTGCAAGCTCCACCCATGTGTCCAACAACAACAAATAAATAATCAGTTTTCAAAAATTCACTAGCAAGCCTTGAAAAGAAACAGAGCAACATGAAATCTGTTATGTAGTTGTATTTTTGTTTAAGATCAAGTAACTTGGTTTGCATTTAAGCAACCCTCACAACAAATACTTGTATCATTCCTAACAAGGCAGAGGATACAAACAGTCATGGCATTTTTTAAAAGCTAAAAGACTGTATTGCTTTTTAGACAGCTGTACAAAAAACCTGATCAACACGAAGGTGCAGAGACTATGTCTCTACAGCTTTTCATAATACAAATACTGCATTTTCTACCCATCTCAGGAAGTTCCACATACATGCTTATAATAAAATGGGTTACTGACATACATGCTCACAGAACTGTTCTCAGACCACTATATCATCACTAGCTGGGAGGACATGGGAGAATTATACACAGGCCACAATTCAAAACTGGCCTCCAAGAGACACCACCATCCTTTTTGACTGTTCAACAAAAGCACTGCTTAAACACAGTTTATTACGTAACATTTATTTACCAGTTGCTATAGGCAAAATCAGGTTTTGTTCAGACAGCGTTCCTCTTCAATTATCCCTTACATAGGTGATCTTACCTGAGAGATGAAACTTGCCAGAATAGGGAATTCCTTGGAATGCCCCATAACACTTGTTTTACTAAACTGTGTTAACTTATTGATAGTGTGCTTCATGCACAGTGTACACAAAGCAGCTTCCACTGCAGTAAAATTCGAATAGTAAACAAATCAATCCTAAACTGAAAATCAAGTTTAAAGTAAATTCAGAAAGAAAAGTATAATCTTGAAAATGTTAAAGGACTGCCTTAAGAATTTGAATCTCCCACCTGATTTACACTTAGCACTGAAAAGGTGTTTTTCATAGCAACTAAAAAAGTTATTAATATTTAAATGTGTTCAGTCTTAAAATCTGACTGGTTTAAGATCTCAGAAGGACACAGTTCTAAACTGAAAGTAAAAGGCAGGTTTAAACTCTCTGAAAAATGGAGCCATGAACAAAAAACAGGGAGAGAAGACGACCTTTTAATGGGAGATACAAAGCCCCAAATGCTAAACTGAAGCTCACCAGTTAGGTAGGAAATGCATGGTGTTCTCAATCCACATGCCCAGGAAGAGCCTTGACAATCAGACCACAGGTTAATTTAACAGCGGAGATCCAAATTCAGGTACAAAACCAAACAGTATGTTAAAACTAAACCTAATTACACTCACTGAATAGAAGTGCAAGAGAATCTGAACCCATCAAGGCCAAAGAAAGATCCTATGGTACTTAAATAATAATATATTGTCCAAAGTTGTTTTAACAGCAGAGTATAAGAAAACATTAGCTTTCCCAACTCCTGAATTAGAAATACAGTAAATCCAGGAAGAAACTGACTCCAGACCAGAAGGGTTTTCATTTGCTAAAGTAAGAACAACCTTAGGCATTCCAGTTTCAAAAGGGCACAAAAATGCCATTATTCACTTCCAAGCCATGATCCAAGCACTCAGGTTTCTGAAATCTATGTAAATCCTGTGAGACAGACAGTAGAAAAGTAGATCTAGGTTTTTTTAATTCAGAGGCAGACAATAAACATCTTGCAGTTGAAGGGATCTTCTTTCAGATGCTGATAGTTACAGTAGTCCTTACTCTCAGTATTTAGCAACAACACACAGCAAGAGCATTAGCGAAAACACATTCATAAAGACAACCCATATAGAGATCAAGGGATCAAGGTTCCTCTCTCAACCCCAAAACCTGAGCCAATCTCACTGTGCATCTTAAGTGGCAACACAGCGGATCTCCCCAGATGCAGTGTGAAGTGAGACCACATACCTGAACAAAGAGTAAACACATGGAATGAACAGGAACCACACTCATGTATAGTATCATTTGAACACTTGATACCCAACTGCAGAAACAAGGCTGTTAGTTTACTGCTCTTCCAATATGAAAAAAAGTCTATGAAAGTCTTAACAAAGGAAGCAAAGCCACAACATGCAACTTAAGACTGAATTTAAAGTGAATTCAATCCTAATTAGAGAAAGGCAATTCATGTCCCCAACAGCTGTCAGTAATAACTGATGGAATGGGAGAAAGCACCCCATTCCCCTCTATCATTCGGGGCTGTCAACTACTGAAATGTCTTCTCCCCACATCAGAAAAGACCTTTGAGGCTTTTTGAAGGCCAGGAAAGAGCTGTCAGGATTTGATTCACTGAAGTACCAACATAATTCACTGCAACAGTCTGATCATTTTACATGCTCTGAAACTGCACTATGCCTACCACAAAAGTCACCAAAATTATGTGACTGATCAAATTGAAGTTTAGACTTTTCTGATTTAAGCATGAGTATTCAGACATCTATCTGTGGCAAGTGCATCCACCTGATGAAAATGGGGCTTCCTGGCTGCTGAAATACAGTGGCCATTGATTTATTTTTTTCATGCCCTTGTTCTCAGGGCTTTACAGTAATTGGGGCCTTCAGTCAGTAAGGGCTGATACTGACCACAGATCAGGCTCAGCTCAGGTATAAATCGAGTCCCCTGGGGGAGCCACTTTGAGCTAGTCTCCCCCTGGAGTAGCACACTGGTTCAAGGCTCTCCCCTTGAGCCAGGACACCACCTAGGCAAACCCCTTGAGGTTTCCCCTATGGGTTGGGCTGCTCCCCAAAGAAATTCCTTGAGGTTGAGTGCCTTCACTTTTTAGGTGAGTGACCAAGCATTTTGGATTGTTGTTAAATCCTAGTGTCTGTGTAATAGCTTTTGTTCTCCTCTCAAACATTTAAATTTTTGCTTATAAGTTTGCTGCCAGTTGATTGTATTAAAAGAAATTTTATTTTAATTGTCATTTGTTTATCTTGAGAACCTCTGCAACACTATCTCTTCAAAAGTGTAAATACTGAATAATTTCATCCACCTACCGGGACTGGTGTGGTTTGTTTTATTACTCCCAGGCTCAGCAACCCCACTACCACTTGTTGAAGACAGTTCTGAGTCTGGAAAGTGGAACCTTAAGTGTGGTGAGTAGTGGAGCTGTAAGATATATCCCAAACCTGTTTATGGAAGGTTTAAAACTACAGAAAACAAAGCACTTAAGCACGTAAGAACTGTACATCAAAGGCTGGTGAATTGAGCAATAATTGGGATGTCTGGTTATATTATGTCATGGTGCCAAAGACAGCACTACCAGTGCCACTTGAGAAACAGCAAGATCACTGTTTTGAGGATATCACTGTAGTGCAGGAGGGACAAGAAACAAACAGGGGCAGTATGAGGACCTTTGCAGAAATGGTATTTAGAAGTCTTCAGAGAAACTCCATAGTTGCTTTAGAGTCCCCACCTAAATTAAGCAGTTAATGCGAGCTATTAGTTCTGTTATTTAAAAAAGGAAGTCTTGAACAAGGAATATTATCATAGGTTTTCAGAATCTTCTAGCAAGATTATGAGCTTTTAAACATAAGGAGTGCTCTTAACTCTTCAGACATTTAGGTCCACATAAGTACAACTTCAGATATAATTCCTTTTTTACTTTACTCACCTCCGAACTGCTTCAGGAAAAGTGGCACTAAACATTAGCGTTTGACGTTTATCTTTTGATGGCATGCTTGGGTAAGAAATCAACCTCTTCATATCTAACCCAAAGCCCATATCAAGCATGCGGTCTGCTTCATCTAGCACCAAGTATTTCACATGATGAAAACCAATCTGTAAGTATTTCAGTAAAAGAAAAACTGTATTAGTTCACTGACAGTATACACTTATAGAATGTTCTAATTGCCAAAATCTACCTTTTTCTTTCTAGTAGAATTTAATTAGTCACAAATAAAAGCCTATGTGCATTGTATTATTTGCATCTCAACCTCTATTTAACTTTTTAATTTGCACTAGCTCTAGTAGTATGGCATACACTGAAGTGCTTCAGAACCTGGTTCAGCATGTAAACTAAGATAGAGACTATAGATCAACTATTATCCAGCACATCTATTTAAGTTATGTCTGAGTTTTAAAAAAGGTTCTCATATAATCCTCACACACTCTCAAAAACCTCCTTGTTCTGAAAAAATTTGTCAGAAAGCATTAAGGACATTACAGTTTTCACTGTTGCTGACCAAGACTGTAATTTTAACTAGAAGCCTAGCAACCACAGAAAGCAGATGTCCAGTTTACTACCAAGAAATGTTTTCCAAACTTCATTTGTTTGTCACTGAGCCACCATTACAATATGTAGCAATTCTGAGTTGAACTTACAGTGTCTGCAAAAATAAAAATTCAAATGCAATGACAGCTGGAGGCTTTTTGTGTTTTGAATAAAATCAGTATTAAAATATCCAAAGAATTAATATTAGCATAGTTCCAGACAGATAAAAGATATTGTAGCAAGATAAACAGGAAAATATGCTATGCAATTTTCCACAAGGACTAAGCGAAGGTGTTTCCATGTATTTATACAATAAAATGTATATGACAAGAACACTGCAGCCAGTTTGATTTAGACTGATGTTTTCCAGTGGGTCCTGAAAGGGACTGAGAAAATCTGGACTCACACTACTCTTTAAAAAAATCTCATGGTATTCAGGTATGCCAAGAAAAGCTCATTTATATTTTAAGTAAGTGACAGTACAAAGGCAGCCTACTGACTGTTTTTGTGGCTCTATCTTTGCTTCTATCAAATCTTAAGAATGAAAACCAGTATGTAAAGACACAAGCGTGTTTAGGGAATTTAGATTTTTAAGAACTTACCTTCTGTCTTTCAGTGATGTCTAGAAGCCTTCCTGGAGTGGCACATAGTATATTACAGCCTTGTTTTAACAGACGAATTGAATGGCCTGTTTGTGTACCTCCATAGATCACAACAGGCCTTATACAAGTACTATTATATAGAATAAAAAAATTGATTAAAATTTGGATTCAAGATATAAGTATGCAGACAGCATTGCTTCATGAAAATATGTAAAAAATTTTATCTACCATAAACCGTCTTAGAGTAGTTCAATTCCTTCACCACATAGCACAACTTATAACAAAAAGCAGGACCCAAGACCTATAAGTCACTCATTGTAAGCTCAAAGGTTTCATTCATACTACATTGTATAGGCTGCACAGGTGGCTTACTTTGAAAGAACACTCCATTTCACCTGCCTTCTTCCCTCTCCCTTCAACAGAGAGTTATTGGCAGTAAGAACCAAAATGGTGTTAAGACATTGTCCCCTTTTATACAGCATACTTAGAAAAAGCTGAATCACCACATAGATGCATTTAGAGCTTCCGAAGTCATCTATCCACACCCTGAAAGGACAAAGCACAAAAACCAAAACCACACAGATAGACCTTTGTGAAGCAACTGATCATACTGGCCACGTAGTGTGCCACTCAAGAGTTAGACTGCAAACCCATTCAATTGCCAAACTACTTAGCACTTTTCCTAAGTTTTTTGGTTAGATCTATGGAGAAGAGCTACATCAGAGACTCATCTCTTGTAGAAAACCACCTCTATGAGCAAGGAGTCCCTCACACAGCTGAAGAACAAGTTCAGAAGTTTATATAACCCCCTGATAAGTCTTTTACATGCATTTTTCATACTCAAATTCAAATTGCCTATTCTTGAAGACACTAATTCAGCTCCATATGCAGCAACTGTAAATCAGATAAAAAATTACCAGGTTTAATCAGAACTTTTCAGAAAGCTTTAGTTAAGAACAGGAACAGGTTGGACTCATAACATTTCAACATTTATCCACTATCAGTTCATATATGTATTTCATATTCCTATTTGCGAACTAAGCCAAAGTGCTTAAGAGCATCATGAACCTGAACTGAACAGTATGTATGCAGTTCTTTAGAGGCAACAGATTAACATCCTGATATTGTTTAACTGCCCCCCAAATGTAGGGTATCTTGCTTTTCCTGCAGGGCAGTTATAGCAGAAACTTTCTAAATTCAAAAGTTATTTTATTGTGAAATTTATATCTAGTTTAAAGTGGCATAATTAATAGAACTAGCTACATAGAAGAGTTTTAGAGATTAAGCTGTTCTTAGTAATACACTTAAATACATATGCAAACATGATGTGACTTCCCAAAGACAGAAACAGCCTCCAAGCCTAAATTTGCCTAAACAGGCCAAGGCAAGTCTAATTTAACCCACCAGATTTTGCACTGTGTTCTCCATTCCACCTCCTAACAGTAACAAGCCTCTACAGACAACAGATTTAATTCTCTTCCTGTTCACTGATGACACCTATCACTTAGCAGCAGAAAGATCACTGGCAAACTAGTACAAAGGTAATCTCACACAACATCCAAGGCCTCAGTGATGTTTAGATTTTTTGTTCTGTTTTGAAGAAAGAGCCAGAAAAGCTCCCTTGAGCTGTGAAATTTCTGTCCAAAATGAGAAAGATTGGGAAGTACTTACTACAAATCAACACTACAGTTAAAAACCCCTAAACCCATACCTCATTTTGTCAAGAGGAAATAAAAGCAAGTGTGAGTTACTAACACAAGCTAAATTTACTTCATTTAAGAAGTTTTATTTTTCTCATCAGTAAAGATGTGACACAAGTTTAGTACTTATCTCTTCAAGCTGGATTAAGTCTCTTTTCACCCACCAGCAATATCAGGAATATTAGGAGTTTAAATCCTTAGCTACATAGTATGAAACCTCCTAGCCAGTATAACCATCTAAATTCAAATGTTTGTAGTCACTCAACTGGCACAGAAAAAAATATTGAAAGTATTCATTTAAAAAAAAAAATCACTGCTGATTCAGACAAAGTAATAATGAATACCAGGCAACAGTGCAAAAGCTTACCCATAAACCAATTTTCTTGCTTCTAAGAAGATCTGATTTATCAGTTCCCTAGTTGGGGCAACAATAATACATTCCGGTTCTTGCTGCTCTTTAAAGGTACAGGCAGTCACCCCATCTCTCATCATCTGAGTCACAATTGGTAGAAGAAAAGCCATCTAAAAAAAGTATCAGTATTTATGCTGTTTAGTCTTAAAACCTTCTTCAGTCACATTAAAACCTGTATATCTATCTTAAAGCTACAATGATACAGCACACTATCAACTTCAAGGAAATCAGACTGCAAAACAATAGACCTGAATGCACTACAGAACATTTAAGCCTATTTCTCCCTGTTTAAGAAGCATGAAAATATCTCTGGACCTTAAGAACATAATAATGTAGGAACACAGACATGCACTAAGTTGTGGGTTCTTCAGGCAGGTTCCACATATCACGCTGACATACATTGATAATTATATACCCCAGGATCAAACCCCCTCCTTAATATTTCAGACTCAAATGGTTTGGGTTGGAAGGGACCTTAAAGCCCATCCAGTTCCAACCCCTGCCATGGGCAGGGACACCTTCCACTAGCCCAGGTTGCTCAAAGCCCCGTCCAGCCTGGCCTTGAACACTTCCAGGGAGGGGACACCACAGCTTCTCTGGGTAACCTGTTCCTGTGCCTCACCACCCTCAGAGTGAAAAATTTCTTCCTCAGATCTAATCTAAAGTCGACCCTCTTTCAGTTTAAAACCATTACCCCTCATCCTATCATTATACTCCCTGATAAAAGAAAGGTGAGGAGGGGCTCTTTAAGAAAGATTTACAAACATTACAGTATCATCAGTAGATTCAAGGTAACTATGTGTCACCATTCTCCAGACTATAATAATAGCAGATCAGTTTGCAACACAGCTACACCAGAACTATTACTCCCATGCAAGACTAGTTACCCCCAAAACAGAATCTGTACAGCAGTCTCAAAACCATTCAGTGTATTTATAGTGTAAGGTCTGGACATTTGACCCTCTGCAAACAGAAGAGGTTTTTCAAAAAAGTAACTAATAAGCTACATAACAAAACTAGAATTCCACAGTACACTGAAGAGCTAAAAGCTATATTTAATATTCAAATATTCTTGTACAAAGATGTCAGTGGATAGATTTGGGGACATTCGACAGTTTAACAAGTTGAGGCACCTGTCAACTCAGTATCAACTCTCAACACTGTTCCATAATTAATACTGTATCACCTAAAACTAAGTCTGGTGCAAACCAGCCTTCATCAAGCCAAGGATGACAAACCAGCACACTACACTGTTAATCTGGCATAAGTTTAAAAAGAACAAAAAAAAAAAATCCCACAAAACAAAACACACATACCAACACACAAAAAGCCACAACATAAAGCCCCAGCTTCCAACTGCTGATTTTTTTCTCTCAGTGGTTTCTACAACTGCCTATACTTCTGAATCTATCTGTAGCCCTGAAGACTGGCCTGCTGTATCACAACAGTAGTTAACTGAAATTACAAAGAATTTCAGCCCAAAAATGCAACAACCCATTCAACATTCATATCTGCACTGAACACTACACCTGCCATTGTAGTGCAAGTCAAATCATTAGACAACAAGCTATGAAGCATCTGACACACTGAAGACTAAGGCATCATCCACCTAAAAGTTCAACATCACACACTTCCAGTAGGATGAATACTACAGAAAATGCTTACAGTTTTTCCTGATCCCGTCTGAGCACAAGCCATTAAGTCCCGTTCTGCCAGAACAATAGGAATGCTGTACTTCTGCACTGGAGTAAGTTTAGAGTATCCAGCTTTAACAACGTTCACTTTTAAAGTCTCACAGAAGTTAGCTGCTTCTAAATTCTGGACAAGAAAGAATTGTTATTAACAGTACACAAGCACAGTAGTTAAGAGTTTAAAAACTAAGATGCTTACCATAGGATACAGACATTAAAACACTAAAAAGTATTAACTTTTGAGGGGGTCTTGCCAATCATGTAGATTGCCATGGTTCCTACATGTCAGAGCCCCAAGGGTTTCTTCAACTTGCCCATGTCACTGAAATAATGTTGTTTGTAGGACAGTGAAGGCCTTCAGCTGGTCTTATTTAGCTTTGACAGAAACATCTCAGAAGCCAAAAAACAGACTAAAACTTTTCTGTTACATTTCACATAGGACATACTGTTTTGCCAATTATCAGGCCTAGCATAAAGGACACAGCCAGCATAAAGATGAACCAATAACCAAGTTGTATCTGATACAAAAGGGTCAGTACATGGGTGAGCTATGGGGGTACAAACAATTCAGTCAGATTATACATAATGGACATCAACCCCACTGACCCCAACAACGACACCACACAACCAACAATGGATGGAATAAATGGTGAAATGCAGTCTCCCACAGAAGGGATGGGAGACAACCGAGTCAAACCAAATACAAAAGACCAAGGAAGCCACACACTGAATCCCTACACAGCCCACTTTTAAAAAATGCCAGAGCTGACTGGAGCCCAGTCCCAGGGAGTCAGGAGGTTCCTCCCCAACAGGAAACTCTGCAAAGTGCATCCACCTCACAGACAGACACTGCCCCTTCCTGCAAGTGGTCCCAGCTTTTATCTCTAAGCAGGACACCTGACCTTTGTTTACTTAATGCAGACACCTGGGGCTCATTTACCCAATGGCTCTCCCTGCAAGGCCAGCCACACCCTGGAGGAAAGCCTAAAGGCAAACTCACCCCCCCTTTGGGAAGGGCTGTGGTAATCACCCACATGTCAACCTTAATCTGAGGCTTGGGGTTGAAACCCCAGCATTTCATATACACACTTAGTTTTTGTGCTAGAACTAACAAGAGGAGCTAAAGCAACATTCCTACCCCAGAAGAAAAATCATTATACATGACAAAATCAGTTTAACTTCAGTTAGAAAATCTTTCAGAAGATGGATGGGAAAAAAGCCTCTGCATCTCCTCCTTCAACACAGGTGCTACTACACCCTCCACCCTTCTTCCTCATTCTTAAGATCTTTTGAGGAAAAAAAAAACAAAACAAAACAACACACTAGCTACCTGGTATGGAATAGAAGCAACATTATATATTACTTTTAAACAATAAACAGCAACCCCAGAAATTACTTCAAACACACCTCTGTCCAAATAAAAACTGCTCCTACAGCTGTTAATTTACAGTGTTAAGGGTTCCCCAGTAACAGCCTTCTCACAAACTGCTGCCTAAGACCTTTCTTTCAAGATCTAAAGTGGTATTTTTCTGCCATTTAAGGACTACACTTTCTGTCTATTCAGTATTACTTTCTCTGGGACACTTCTGTAGTTTATCAATATAATTTTGAATTCAAATTTATATCTTTCAAGTGGACAGCATCTCCCTCCAACACAGTACTGTCTGCAACATTCAAAAAATTTTCCATTAGCAGCGAATATTATTAGACTTTGTATATATACATCCTTGCAGAGTTGTGTTCCACATAAACCCTGAGATTAATGAGTTCACTAACCAGCAGTGGTGCTGGAGGGTCATGTCCTGACACTTCCACAACATTTTCATCATACTTGTCAAAATTAATTCCTGTCTGATAATGTGCAAAGATGGCTGCTTCATCATCTGGTGGAGGAGGGGGCACATAAGTCACCCTTGGACCTTGAAAACACAAGCACGTAAGTTCATAAACAATATGAAGAAAAATGAAAATAAAACTGTTTTAAGAATGGACCTGCTGAAGTTAAGTTCAGTGGGATATCCTTCAGGCTTCTGTCCAGTTTCCAGGAAGACAAGAAATTTTATAAATTAATTCTAATAGAACAATTTTATACTACTAGGCTAGAACTCCCTTAAACTTAGGCTTTTGTCAAGCATTTTTTCTCACATTTGCTCATGGATCTTACTTTAAAGAGCTACTCACAAAAATGAAATTAGGCTCTAGTTCACCACCATGCAAAAAAAAAATTCTACCACAAAAATTCATTATACTAATTATCCCATTGAATAACAATACATTTAATACACAAGGATAAAATTAATCTGTTCATGGCAGTACATTTATAGTTCTGTATTCCTTAAGGTATTTTTCAAGATAATACACTCAAAGGTATAAAACTAATTATTTGATGCTCACTAAAAGACTGGCAATAGAAGCCATTTCACAGAGACCTCAAATGAGGAAGATGAGGAATGAAAGTTATTCACACAGAAGTCAGGAGTTCGCTATTTTTCTTTTTACATTTCAAGAGTAAGAGAAAGGCAATGTAAGGCTAACGTCACTTGCAAAAAACCATGGCAAGGTAAGTAAACCTTCTAATGATTGTCCCAACTGACACATTGAATACATCATTCATCATACATTTCAATCTGATCGCCTGCATATACAAATCCTGAAATTTATTAATTTGTATTCAGTAACACATCAAGCCTGTTTACCAGATGCTACAGCATCTGAAACTGATAATCTAGTGTTCCTTCATGGTTTGCTTTAATGACTATCATCACTTAGAAGCCTACACTATTGCCAATTAAGTTTTCTAACACCTGTGGCTCAGGTAGACAGGCTTTACTACTTGAAAGAAGAAACAGCCAGAAACAGAAAAATTCTATAGAACTCCATTCTGAAAAGCTAGTCTTTAGGTGATAACAACCACTTGTGTTGTCCAGTAATTTAAAGATTAACAAAGTTTAAACATACTAACCGCATTTGCTTGGCAACTCATGTTACATGAAGATGGTTATGCATTTACCCATATTGCTACCTTTTTTACTCTATTAGTTTCCAGTAACTTAAAGAATGTTCCTTGAGTTAAAAGAAAATTAAAACTGGCCTATTAGTTTGAAGAAGGTACTTACGTTTTTCAGAACCTGTTTTTTCTTTGTGTTCTGCTGCTGTTAAAGGAAGCATTCCAAAATTAACCACTTTTAGGAAACAAGTTAATTTAACAGAAAAATCCAAGAACCTTTATGAAAAATACCTAGAGACACTTAAAAAACTCAACTAGGGGTCCTGATATGGTTGGCAGAATGAGTGGAAATATTTAAACAAGCAACAAAAGCTTAGTTATAAAATGTCAGAAGACAAAGGCCCCATATTTATGTTTTAAAGGGCAGAAAGAGAGGATGTCAGAACACCAAGCTTAGCAGGACCTTGCAGTAATAATATGAAGGAATTAAACTCAGCATCTTGCTGACAGACTTCACAAGACACACCTGGTCCTTACTTGACTTGTAATAAGCCCCTTATCAAATAAATGCAGTCATCCCAGATGGTCATCACAAGGTGTCTAAATGAAGCAAGTTGTATTTAAAGACAATCAAGAGTAATTATCCCTCCTAAATCCAGTATATGCTTTGAAAGGGCTCTATACTCACCCAAGATGAATCATGAGCAAAGAAATCATAACAAATTGACATGCCACAGAAATTTGAGTTTTATAACCCTCTGTTACCTCTTCGGTGATTCCCCCCCCCCAACTAATCAACAAATGTTGTAACAAGTAATTCACACATGCTTACCATTACAGCATGTTGGTTTTAAGAACCATTCAACTTTTCCACAAAATCCAAAGATACTTGTTTTATGCTACATAACCAACTTCTGAATAACTGAAGAGCCATAGCCATAAACTTCACAGTGATTTTTCAAGAGTTAGGAGAAAAATTAAATCAGAAAACTATCCTGTTATTTCAACAGCCACACATTTATAATATTCATGCCATTAAAATTCTGACCTTGACATTCACACATTGTGTGTTGCTTTCATTACCACTGAAAAAACAATGACATTTATTCTTAAGAGTGAGAAAGTACTCTATCTTGCATATATAAAAACTGTATTCAAGATTGAGCTATTAACAGTAGCATTTCCAGAATCTGTTTCAAGTCCTACTCTTACTATACACAGAATAGAAAAAGCCTTAAACTAAAGCGGTAGCATCTAGCTACTCTGTGCAAGAAACTGTGATACTGATTTCAAAGAATGTTAAAAAAACCCTTTAAAGTAAGGCCCCTCTGAACAGAAAGGAACCTAGCAATGTAGACAACCAACACAAGACTGAGTGAATAGGAAAGAACAAGCTGTTCATACAAACTAGTGCAACTGTTGCCTACCAATATCCTTAACAGTCTTCACATACAAATACTTTACACAACCATCACAAAAATTAAGGAATAACTATCCTGCATTAATGATGCAGTTATGTCCACTATGAATATTAGCATGCTGCTTCTATAAACACTTAAGTTCCAAAAGGAAAAAAAAAATCGTTATTTGAACTAAATATATGAAAAAATTAACTATGTCAAATAGAGGCAAATCAATTATTCTTTGGATATTAAGTAGCACTTCTGAAAATGTGTACTAATCATTATATCTTTTCTACAGCGAAAAATCGTTTTACCAGGATCACACAAAATGTTTTTAAATAGAGACTATTTAATATTCTCTATTCTTAAATGGAGAATATTTACTACTGGCATCCAGTACCGAGTACACTATTTAATGGAATTTCTAGTTTGGATTATGGGGACTTTTGAGAGTGATAGATTACTATGCTCTAGGTAGCATAAAACATAGATTACAGTACCACCAGCAGCAAAGCAAAATAGAACCATGAGGGGAAAAAACCCTTTGTAAGCAGCAAAAATCCCAACAGATTAAAGTCCTTACGAAAAGCTGGCCTCTCAGACACAAGCCTTACTTGTCAGCCTGGAAAAACCTAAAACAATACTTCCCTTTATGGGTGGGGTGGAAAAACCCTAGAGCAACTATTTTAAAAGTGAGCAGCTCTTAAAGGCTTGCTTGGAATTCTGGGATTAGTACCTCCACTGTGCATTAACTGACCAGTGGCAGCAGGACCAAGAAAACAGCATTATGGACAACAGCTGTGAAGATCCAATTGCTAAAATTTGTTTAAGTTACAAATACATCTTGTGTGGGCATGCAAGCAAGCTGTTCAACATTTGCAGTAAACTCTTAATTCAGACAGGGAGAACAATCAGTGAGACAGCATTTAGCAAAGCTAAGATGGTAGTGCATTGCCAAAAATCAGTGAAGAATTCTGAAAGGCTCACCACCCTATTAAAAAGTCTCACCTGCACGACCTCCCAACACTCCTCTTCGTTTAGAGCCAAGAAAAATGCTAGACTGATCTTTAATACCTGTCACTAATACAGTGTATGGGATATAGTGTCTAAAATAGTATAAAGAAATATTATTCTTAAAGCTACTACTATTTTACTTGAAACACTCTGCAGTGCAACAGCCCCAAAAGATAGTTTCTAACTCCAACCTATGCTGTATTATTCCTCATGATACTATTATTCATACATCATCCATGTTCCACAACATGGCTGAAGAAAAGCTATTTCATAGCTCAGCGGACAAGCAAACCCGGAAAGAACGACCAAACTAGCCAACATGAAAAAAACCTTACCTCAGCTCAAAGCTAACAGGAAATCCTTTAAAACCACTACTTTGTATGTTAGAACCTCCTACAACATTTCGTTTCTTCAAAATCAGCAGTACAGCACAGCAAACAACTTAGTTGGTCCAATTTTGCAGGTGCATGTCCAGTGCCTTTTACTTAGCAATTATTCTTCACAGTCCTTATTTCTTCAGATAAAAAGTACAATAAAACTAATTGATTTGCCTAAGCTTATGAAAAAAAAGGAGTATTTTTTGCCAAAAAGTAGAAGAGCATACTGCTCTTCTGTAGTATTACTTCCTGCAAGAAGTAAATTGAACATTAAGTATTTGACTTTACATGCATATACACTATATAAGCTACTACCTTTTAACTCTTCAGTTATGATCCAGATCAGTTCAATCCTCTGGTTCAGTCACACAACAACTCACAGCACTTGTACCTTCTCAGTTTTCATAACAGTACTGTAGTGAAGTATTACTACAGTTGCTGCCTCCTATGGAGCAAGGATTTAAAAACCTGCCTTTCAGATCTATCAACTTCTATTTTATTACTCAGATCTGCTTTTCAGTTGCTTGTGATAGGCAGTGTAAAGTATTTAGTATATATTTCTAACCCCTTTCCCTAGTCACCCTCCTGATGGGGAGGAAGTAAGCAGCCACACACACAAAAATGTACTTCTCATTTTAGATTGGACAGTTTAGGTGTTTAAGATCCAAGCAGTTGACTTAAATTGTCATTTAGTCCTTTGCCTGTATTCAAGTGAACACCTATTCCATCATCTTGTAGTGAAAAAGAGCAACTTCTGCTAAATGAGACCAACAAGTTCTCCTACCACAGCATCTGTAGCTCCTTCTCCACCAGTGCTTGATGCATACCAATTTATACATCATTTAAGTTTTGCCAAATTAAAAAATGAAAAATCACATCTTACAGGCTCACATGCAAAAGACAGTCTACATATAAACATGCATAAACACTATAGACCTTAAATACAGCTTGTGAGTTGCTTTGCAATTGCCAGAGTCTACAGTAGAACTGTTTGGCATTCTACAGCACCAAGGTCAACACTGAGTCAAACAATTCCAGCGTACCCCTACCATACTGGGCATCAATACAAGAGATGAAGAAATCATATTTGTTCTTTCAAAAAAAAATTCTATACAACTTCCAAGGGTCTCCACAGCTGTTCAGGTCAGAACTTTTGCTAAACAACCCCAAAACAGGACTAGAGTTTCCGTCTTCCTTGTTTCATGCCAGCCCCACTTACAGCCATAGAACTATCAAGATAGATGCTAAGCACCGGTAGCTTCCACTGTCCTATGTGCTTCGGATAGTACCTGGTGGAAACATATGTGGTAGTACTGCCAAACTGCCATCTATTAACCTCTTCAATGTGCATTGCATGCAAGAGTGGCACTCGCCATTGTAAGCAGGAAGAGGACAGGGATTAAATATTGCTTTATGGATACTAAAGAAAGCTAGCTTTCAGGTCTTCTGTAGAAAAGCACTGGTATGCTCCCTCATAGCATATATGTGAATATTAATATTCAGCTGACTTTTATACTACACTATAACAAAATCAGAAAAATACCTCCCTCCAGGGAAATGGAATCAAAGCAAGATGTAAAGAAAACATTGATTTTAAGTGTAGAGTCCTGCCTTCTGGCAAATATGGTGGAGTATTTTATGTTGTGCATTCAAAATTAAGGGGTGATACGAAGTGCCTACATTACGTAGAAATAAGGATTGGTATTAACCCTGCTAGTCATAAATACACTTTTGGCTCTGACACAAGAAAACTGAGTACCTGAATGGGGAAAATTTAATGTACCAAATAAGACTAGCCGCTAGAATTACAGACACTCCAGAAAGTTACCTCTGTTTCCAAAATTCCTTCTGCCACCAAACCCACTCACTGGTTGATATTGTCTGTTCAGACATTCATCAGCATCTATAATTAGAAAAAAAAGAGTCATCTTCACATTCAAAGCTATCTTTGACATTAGGGTAGTCTTTTGGGTTTGGGATTTTTATTTTTCTTGTTTCAGTCTGTGGTTTTTTTTTTAAACTCAGTGAAATTACAGAATTATTCCTGCTGAAAGGCACCTCAGATTTGCAGCCTACCTCCCACTCAACAAAAAACCACCACATAACAAAGGTGCCCTTTTTGCAAGACAAAGAAAAGTAAAATTACAAAGTTCTGGACAGGTCTAACTACTGTTTTCTGTAAGAAATAGCACCACTCAGCAACAGTACTGCTACTAACACAGTGAAATCTGAATTTCCGGAATCTCTGTTGTAAAATTCTCCATTCTAAATCTTTTGTCCAAAAGGAAGGCTTAACGATTCGCAAAATTACATATTTTAACCCTGCAATTCTACCTCTACTCCTAGAATACCCTTCAAAATAATTCTGCATATGTTGACTTCTGTTAGGTCTTTCAACAGCACCTGGAAGAGGAAAACAAGAAGAAAGTAAGGTACTGTCTCCCATAACATCCTCATATACAAACAGATCAACTAAACACCATGAGACTGGTTGCTCTCCCCCCCCCCCCCCCAAGGGAGGGCTCACTCACTAATTACAGTCAGGGGCAACACACACAGAATCAGGGAAAAAAGATCAAATTAATTTGTTACATATCAAACCAGAGTAAGATAATGAGAAATAAACCCAAACCTCCGAAACACCTTCCCCCACCACTCCCTTCTTCCTGGACTTTCTGATTTTTCTACCTGCTCCCCCCCCCAGGGGCACAGGGAATAGGGGTTATAGTCAGTTCATCACATGTCTCTGACACTCCTTCCTCCTCAGAGGGGAGGACTTGTCACACTCTTCCCCTGCTCCAATGTGAGGTCCCTCCCACAAAAGACAGTCATCCTCAAACTGCTCCAATACAAGTCCTTCCCACGGGCTGCACCTCTTCATGAACTGCTCCAGTGTAGGTCCCTTCCACAACATGCAGTCCTTCAGGAACAGCCTGCTCCAGCTCAGGCTTCCCATGGAATCACAGTGTTCTTTGGGTACAGCAACCTGCTCTGAGTGGGGTCCCCAGGGGCTGCAGGTGGAGATCTGCTCCATCGTGGACCTCCATGGGCTGCAGGGGCACAGCCTGCCTCACCGGGGGCTGCACCAGGGGCTGCAGGGGAATCTCTGCTCCAATTCCTGGAGCACCTTCCACCCCCACCTTCACTGGCCTCAGCTTCTGCATTGTTGTTCCTTTCATCTCATTCCTCTCCACTGCTGGTTCTCCAGCAGCCTTCCTCCCCTCCCTTCTTAAATATGTTATGGAGGCACAGCCACTGTCACTGATTGGCTCAGCCTTGGCCAGAGGTGGGTCTGGCCTGGAGCTGGGGAAGCTTCTCACAGGAGACAGCACTGCAGCCCCTCCCCCACCTACTTATCTCACAATGCAAAAGTACAGCCTACATAATTCGACAGAGAGGAAGACAAATTAGGCTGAACCACTGGGCTTCAAGGGTTGTGATCAGACTGGCCAGTCTTCAGAGTTGCATTCCAACCTCAGTGATTTCTATAAAATACAAAATTCCCTATTCTGCAGTATTAAAGTCAAGATCAGGGGACATCAGCAACCATCACAAAGATATGAAATATGAAATCAAAACATGAAGTCTACAAAATTCCATGATGTACACATGTGACTTATCACAGAAACTGATTGCTACTGTTTTCCTTCCAAGTTAACACTGCTTAACATATTTATATAGCTACCTCTGAACAAAACCAATCCACTAGGTACAGTACATTCTGCAACAAGGCAAATATATTAGCTAAAGATCATGTGTATACAAGAATTTGTCAAAGGAAAACAGTGTTTTCCTTTACCAATTGAGTATCAAGTCACTCAGTTAGGGAACTTTGCTCATACAATATTAAACAAAATGTTAAAACTGCTGCTTATAGCCTGAACAATGTTCGAAGTTCCTGCTCACTTGGAAAATTTGAGTAGTTTGTGGCAAAGTCAGTATAAAAGATTCTGATACTCATGTTTAATCTAACATGTAACAACCAACAAATAAAAACCCCTTACCAATTATTTAAATTGATATTTTTATGATTTACCACTACAGATTGGCTTCCATTGATCAAGTCTATTCGCCTTTAATGGGGTGACGACTCTTCCCATTTACTTCCCATCCTAATCCATTCTTACTCTATCACTCCTCTTCCACTGATATTTCCACAGCACACTAAGTTAATTCAAAATTTAAAGTTTTTGGAAAGTACATCATGTGTCAACAAAATACTTGATCAGTAATGCACCTGCTGTAATAAGTTCCTTCACCATGCTGCCATCTGTGTTTACTATCTTACTAATGAACGATGCTGGACAAAACCACAGGTTTATAGACAGTGAATAGGACAGAACCAATAATCACTCTACACTAGTCTGCTATGTTTAGCACTTACACCAAATCAGTTGTAGACTGCCATGTTACTTGACAACGAACTTAAAATTGGTAAAAGTATAGCAACTTTGATTTGACTACTAAGCAAATTATTCATGCAATTCATGTCTATGTATGTTTGCAAGCTAGCTTGTCTTACAGAGAGTCTAGAAGTATCAAATGCTAGTATTTAATTTGTCACTATACCATTTACCATTCTAAGTTTACTAATTTTCAAGCAATATTTGATAGATTAAGAGGACTAGAATGAATCCTTGCTTCCAGTTCACTGGAATTAAAATCTAGCATTGCAGCAGCATATCCATGAAAAACAGCTGTTAGATCCACCAATCTCCTCATCATATGCATTTACTTATAGCTTACTACTGTATTTTGGGATTTAAAACCTGATTTTAATACATTTCAGAGACATCTATTCCCAAATCTTGTACATACTAAATATCATTTTGGCAAGACTTGAATTCTGGTTTTTGCTTGGAGTTTTTTTTGTGGGTGGGTTGTTGAGTTTAAGTACCAAAGGAGTGTGGAACAGAAAAAACCTCCTTCAGAACTGATGAAAATTCAGAACCATCAGCTTGTAAAGAGTTTTGCTTTAATGAAGAAGCAATACAAAGAATGAATTCACTTCAAGTAAAGTTTTATTAAAAAATAATTTGAGATCCTACTTTTAGCTTACCCTCATTACAAGGATTTACATAAGAGTACTACTACTAGATATTGTTTCAAAGAAAAAAATCAAAGTTAAAGTTTAACCTACATACACTAATTCTACCCATAGTATTTAGTGTCAAACAAGTAAGCTGAAACACTAATATAAACTATACAGAGCCTACAAGGGCATGGCATTCAAAAGAGCAGCTCCGAAGTGCTTAAATTAAAACTTATCTGAAGCACAATCTTTTAATAAATTAGAAGCTTTGCAAGGGAAAATGTAGTAAGGCCCATGCAGCCTTTCTTGAAAAGAGGAAAAAAAAGGACACCTTTTTCCATCATGTTGTAGGGAAAGGCACCCTTTTAAACAAGGTCAAGACAAGATGCATAATCCTATCAACTAAGAGCCTCACCTCTGGAATTCCTGAACAGCTTTAGCTCTTTAAGTCCTTCTTTAAACAGCAAACAAGGTTTGCTTGTATGTAGCATAAATAATCTCAGTGCTATTACTTATGCTTGAAAACAGCTGATAAGGAACTCTACCAATAAAACAAACCAGAAAGGTTGTGTTAAGCCAAAACAGACACTTTGAAATTGCTCACTCTGATCTAAAATGACACAATATGCCTACCTTGGGAAAGGAATGGTTAATGTGACTGTGAAAGCAAGACATTTGCAGGAAAAGCCCTCCCTGCCATGAGTTCAGTACAAGAGGCACAAATCTGATAATACACAAGTTAACTTTTTCATTACATATTGCAAAAATAAGATGCAGAGCTGACAGCTAGTCAGAAGAGTGAGCTGGAATATAACATGAAGCCCTGAGACTCACTTTTGCCTAATTTGCAATTTAAGCCCTCTTCACAGGCACTGCCTTTTCCCATTTGTTCTGAGTCAAACTATTGCTGAAGTTAGCAATCTCGCAAGGTTGTGAAGATCTCAAAAAAAACGTTCTGCTGTTCTAGGATGAATGCAAAACCTGTCCTCCAAACTTTCTACTTCCTGTAACTGTCCAAATTCACTGTAAATCAAGTAGCACAAGTGACACTTATTGTGCTGCTCCTAATTTCCCAATATCTTAGGGACAAGGAATTGGAGAAACTAAGTCTGCCTTTCAGCTATACACTAAAGGGCGGGGGATGGATACCTCAGCCATAAATGTACTGCCATGATCTGATTGTTCAAACACATGAGCAGTTAGAAAGATATGGAGAACCTGCCCTATGAGAAAAGGCTGAGCAAGTTAGGTCTTTTCTCCCTGGAAGAAAAGGTCCAGGGAGGATCTTATCACAGTATCCTAGTACTTGAGACATGCTATAAAGACAACAGGAGGTCTCCCTTCACAAAGAGCCACATGGAGAATATAAACATGCTGCACTGGAAGAATTTTCATCTGGATAGAATACATTGTTTACAGTGAAAACATTCACTGGAACAACTTCACCAGGGACATAGTGGAGTTCCCATCACCAGAGATTTTCAAAATGAGGTTGGATAGGGTGCTAGACAATCTCATTTAAGCTTCCTTTACAATGAAAGGTCAGGCCAGATGATCTTCCAAGGTCTCTTCCAACCTGGGCTGTTTTATGATTCTATGATATGACCATAACTCGTACTAATTACAATTTGTTAAAATAAAGTTTAGGTTGTTCTTCCACAGTTGGATTAACTACATGATTAAGCTCAAAAACTTTCTACCTCAGACTGAATTTCACTGAAGTCAAAATATCAAGTAAAGACCATTCCTAACTTCAGAGACTACATTGAGAACACCCAAACTACCTTAACCCAGAGACCTGTTCCCTGATCCGACTACTGTAGAGTCACACAAAGTAAAGCCTGGGGCAAACTACCTTCAGCAGTAACCCTGGCTTGGCATATTTAAAACTTCTATCTTCTATATCTAAAATTCTTCAAACTTCTACATCTAAAACTTCTGTTCAAGTTTATAAAGGTATCATTTTCATTAGACCAAGTGTGCTTTACAGAAACTTGATATCAAACTTCAACATTTTGCCTTGTGGTTTTGGTGTTTTTTTTAAAATGGATCTAAATTTCCATTCAACAACTTCATCTGACCTTTTCTTGTTTTCAACACAACTGTCACACAGAACCTCACCAGAACTGCTCAACACCACATATACCACTTATTTTCAATAATGTTGATGTTTAGCACAGCCACTTTTAGAAACGTACGTGAGGTAATACTTATCAGCTCTCATTAGAAGTTATATGCTGTATTCAATAAATTACAGTAAATGAAGGGTTGAGGGTCAAAAGGAAAGTCTACTCATGTTACCCATATAATTTGATGTTGCTAACTCCTTGGGGGACACATGAAAACATCAGTGATAACATTGTGGTTTGCTTTAATCTCCAAACTAATCAAGTGATCAACTTCCCCAAATGTCAGTAAAATCTAAAGTGCCTTTCACATACCAAATGATCCTGTACTTGGACTGCGGTAGAACAAGGGGCTTTCTGGTCTTTCAGGTAAGTTAATCTACAAAAGAAAAAAGACACAACATGTTAATTTCAAGCCAAAGTACATAAATACAAATGCAGTTGCTAAATCTTGCACTTCTGCGAGTGATGCACAACACAATTGTTCGCCTCCCACACTCAGACCCTTTCCGAGCTGCGATCACCCCCCACTCCCTCCAGTTATATACTGAATATGAGGTCAGCAGGGTGTCGAGTATCCCCTTGTCTGGTTCGGGTCACCTGTCCTGGCTATGCTCCCTTCCAGTTTATGAAAATTAACCCCATCCTAGCCGAACCCAAGATAATAACTTCCTACAAGCCCCCTTTTCCAGTTTCAGTTTAAGTGAACTGGGTTTATAAATGCTGTAGTAGCCCAGCTCACAGCGGGGAGTAGAGACAACTTACAGAAGCAACTTAAGCAGAAACTATGAGAGGAAACACAACAGTTCCACCTATGTCTGCATATATGATAGCTTCCCAAGAGCTTGGAAAGGAAGATTGTTAACTAACCAGATCTGGAAACACAACTGTTCCATAATCCCTATCATGATCCATGAGCCTCTTTGCTCTTCTTCCCTAAAAATCTGAGTATTAAGAACGCTTTCAAAATACACAGCAAAACAGAACAAGAGGGCCCATGTTAACTTATTTTAAAAGGCAACCACCATGATGAGACCCACTTACACATTAAGAGCTACAGATGCAATTAAGTCGACTTGGTTTCTGTACACATTTAAACCTGCTTGAAAAGTCAGATTCCCATTTTCTAAGACCGAAGTTTTGCATGCAAACAATTCCATGTAACAACTCACTGCTATCAATAAAAGGTGAGGCTTCAGGTATTTTCTCTGTATCAGCTTTTGGTGGTCAAGGCCATCTAAGCCCTTTCCCCATCACCAAAAGTAGTCTTCAGGTTAGACAATTAGAGCTCACCTAAAGCACTGGTTGAATAAAACAGCAGCAAGCAAACTGCTAGCCAGGAGGAAAACTCTTTTCAGTAACAGTGAACTACTACAGCAGCCTACCATATTTACAAAAACATACTACAAGTGATATTCAAAGTCCTAACTACAATCCTCAAACAGGTGCACTCCTCACCCTTCCTACAGCAGCTATACATTTAAACGTTTGGGACCAATATTAAGGTCAACATTAACTGAACAATGCAGATCAGCTGAGAGGGTCACCCAGATTCTATCTGTTGCAGTGGTAAAAAGAAATACCCATTCAGTGACTGCCAGCTAAAAAGAAACAATAGACTAGCTATAAGGACATCAACAGCACAGAGAGAGAAACTACAGTTCACATCTAACCCACAGCCAATAACTACCACCAAAACACATGGTTCTGCTAGACCCCAGTAACACAACTCCACCAATGCCCTTTCACTAATCAACAGACAGTAATAAGGACCATCAAACCAATCCCATTACTGCAAAAACCTGCAGTCTACCAACACTGAAAACCCAGCAACCTGTCCTCAATTCGTCCTTCAACTTCAGGAATACTAGATTTCACATACATAAGGGAACAGGAATGCCTCAGAAGGGAGAAAATAAAAGCAGACTGCAGGGCCAGGACTGGGAGAAAGAAAGTGAAGAGAAGCAAACACACGACAGCCCAACAGCTGCCACTCCATACCTGCTGAAGGGATGGGAGCATGGGTGATTCCTCATCCCCCACCTCCAGATTCCAGTTCTCTGGGTTCATGATGTCCCTTGCCAGACCTGCTTCCATGAGACAAAGCACGTTAGCAGCAGCCCCCGGCCTGTCCCCAGCGGGACCCACGGTGCCTATGCAGGGAACACTGTTGATGCTGCCCCTCCCGCACTGGCCTAACCGATGCCCCCCACCCTGTCCCGCGGGGGTAGGAACGGAGAAGAAAGGGGGGAAAAGCCTCCCGCTTCCAGGAGAGAAGGGCCCAGCCCCGCTCCTACCTCCGTCCTCCAGCTGCCGCACCTCGACCCGAAAGGAAAATGGCCCCGCTTGCCCAGCTACTTATAGCGCCTCCGCACGTGCAGTTGGCGGGCTCTCGAGGTGCCCGGCCCGCCGGCCAATAGGAGCGCGTGTCGTCACGGGCGCACGTGTGCTGCGGCCTAGCTGCACGGGTGGCTCAGCGGCGCCGGCGCCCGCCGCGTCAGTTTCGTGGCGCCGTGGGGTGGCGGGGCAGCAGGTTTAGCTTTAGGTCGTGCTTCGCTCGGGCATGTGGAAGAAAGAGGGGAGCTCGGGGAGGTGCATGTCTGCAATATCTCAGTGCTTCCGCCGTGGTGATGATCCTGCTCGGCCCTCGGAGCACCTGAACATTCTTTTATTTCTTCGTGTATGACTGTTAAAGCGTGATTTATTTTACAAACGTCTAATGATAAAAGTGAAATCCATGGTTTTGCAGAACTACAATTAAGCTACTAATGATTTAGCTGCAAACAAAATATTCAAGTATTAGCATAACAGCTAACAGAACATACCTCAGCTAGAATTAATAATAATAATAATAATAATAATAATAATTTAAAAAAAAAAAACAACCAACCTAGGTTAAACTGGCTATATATTAAAAAAAAAAAAGAATATCCTCTTCCCAGTGTTTTTTGTTGCAACAGACTTTGTGGAGAAAAGAAAGAGGGCTGAATTCCTGGCTTGCAAGTTTTATTTATCTCAACATGCAGGAAAACATAGATAGGACTTGTAGAATTACCGTAAAACTATATTTATCTAAAGTACATATTGCATAAGTGACTAGTAAGCTTATATATTTCATTAAGAAGTTACAATTACTGTTAGCATTTTCTCTTAATAGAATTGGCTACTGTAGTGTAGTTTGTTCTGTTGCAGTAGCAAACATTACTCAGACATTCTGCTTGAATGATCAGTTGAAGAGACGGCAAACTGTCCGCACAGGGGCACCCACAGCTGGATCCTGAGTGCTGGCTGCCTCTCACACCTCAGGTGTGGTTGCACACACCTTGCCGGTGACCACTGGAGATGAGACCTGTGGAGACACAAGCATAAACTCTTCCCCAGGTTATTAAAATATATGGTCCTTCTCAGTTACCCCTTTCTAGGTTTTTTGTTAACACTTGAGCTTTGCTCTGGACTTCTTGTCAATCTGGTATCTGTGATGAAAAATTACACAATAGTGGTGGCACCTGTGAGACAGGGGAAATGTTTAAAATGTTCATGACATATAATGCCTTATTTAGCCTTTTGTGAGGTATAGATTGATATCTTTCATCTTGCCCCTTTGTTGTTATTGTTGTAATAGAAGCTTTAGCTTGCTAGATGTATGCTTCACAGTGGTCTGACCAGCCAGTGAATGGGGAATGCAGGTCAGATGCTTGACTCCCCACTGTAAGACAGGATGCAAACAGTGCTCCAGATAAGGTATTAACAGACACATGTACATATTTTAATATCTGAAATGCAGCCGAGTGACAACAGATTGCTATAATTCTGAGGAGGTGAGTCCCCAAGAGTCGACACCACTTCCCTGATGAAGAGATGGAGTCTTTCTGGTATTCAGGGCGAGTTGCAGTGATGTCTTTAGCTTGATGCCTTGATAAAGAAACCTGGTTTTGTATTGCTCTGGCATTCTGGTGGAAAAAAATTGCATGCGTTTTACAGCAGAGCAAATGGTTGACCTGGAGCCAAGATCTCTCCCCCCTTTTGTTTTTGCAAAAGCACTTTCAAGGTCTGGCATGCTCTTTCTACGATGGTTTGTCCTGTGGGGGAAAACAGTATACTTGTGATGCTTGTCTGTCTGAGATGGTGTTGGCTATGCGGTGAAGATCTTGTTTTGACTTCTTTGTAAGTACTTTGGGTGATGTCAGTGAAGGATCTTTTCACAAAATAATCAGATAAGCTATGCAGATCATCATGAGTTAGGCCCACGACGGCTGTATCTAATTTATGGTTCCTAACTAAATCTTTTAAAGTCTTAACAGTTTTAAGTTGTTGCAGGACAATACACACAGGTGATTCGATTTACAAGGTTAGTGTCAGGGTGGGTTGTGCTACAGTGGTGATTAAGACAAATTTGATCCAATTTGAGTTCCTCATTGAGTCATACAGTTATGACCTCAAAATGCAATAGGGGTTTTCCAATATAAATGGATGAATATTTGTTACCCAATTTTCTGGGCCTCTTACATGAATGAGATCCTTGCTTTAAATTGCTACAGCATGACCACCAACCCTGAAAAGCATTTGAGGTACCAGAGCTAACAGCCAATCTGCTCACAGATCTTATGGTTACATTTGCACCAGTATCTAAAATGCCTGTCAGCTCAACAGATTTTTTAGCTTTACCGAGAGTACATTTTACCAGAAATTAACCTTGTGTCACTGTTTTAGTCCAAAAAATACTTAAGGGGTATCTGCTGATCTAAATCCTGAGAATTGCGGCTTCTTGGCATAATATTAAAGGGAGCTGCAGTAAAATTAACAAACTGAATAATTTTTTTATCCTTTTGTTACTGAACACAGGGGTACAGGCCATAATTTTGATTTTTCTCTTCATAA